CGTTTTCTACTCTTATTTAAAAAAACAGGTTTTAAACACAGAATAATATTATTCTAATTTAGTTTCTTATTTCATTTTACAGCAATTTTTTAAAGATTTTTTGTAGCTGTGCATAATACGCACCCTTGATTTTGCTTATTATTTTTTAGAAAAAAAAAACGCGTATTGTACATGGGGAATTACGGTAATTTAAATAATTTATTTTTAACTATTAATTAATATTATTTGTGAGTTAAAATTAAGAAATACATCTATTAAATATAAAATATATTGAATCGAAAAATAGAATTCGCATATAAAAAAACGCCATTTTTTATGCACCAAATACATATCCATTTTAGAATTTTCTTGTAAATTTTATATATTCTGTGATTCAATTTGTTTCATCAGAACTTTTTGAAAGTGGAATAATGCAAAGTTGTTCCGAATTTTAAATTCTGTATTGTTTTTTTTTTCTTCTTAGTTGCGTGTTCATATATATGTTCATTATGGGCATACGCTCACGATGTTCACTTTAAAACCATCAGGCACAGGTTCAAATCTCCCCAAAAATCTCAAATTTCAAAAAGGTGACTTCATGATATTATCCACCTGAATAGGCGACCCCAGCACGTAATCCCGCTGGAAGATCCCTAAGAAAACATTCCAAATTGGGTAGACGGCTGGTTTCATCGATGTCACAAGTCATCATGACCGAGTGTTTTATCACGCTAGATAATTTGCTCTCTCCTAGAAACTGTAACTAAAGTCCGCCCAGCATAATTGCGTTATAAAACATAGGTGGTCTATGAAGGTGCTGAACATACGCAAAATGTGCCTTGACAGGGGTCTACAACAGGCATTGGCTAGCCGCCCTTGCAGAAAAGCATATTGTGTTTATGTACTGGTGCCTGTTAATGGGTTTAATTCTTGAAATTTTAACGCGTCAGTCAGTTTTGATAGCATACGCAGAAAGGAAACTGCATAAACTCCTACAAATGAAAGTGAAAAGAAAGGACTATACTTCAGTTGTAAGAAAACTGAATGTTTGGTTTTCAGTTAAAGAAATAGTCTATGATACAACGGAAAAACCAAAATCAATCAAATACGAAAATTTAAATATCTGGTATTTTTTTAACAGAGGACAGGAAATATAACACCGGAATCTGAGGGCACATTGTGAATAGCGAAACATGCTTTCCAAAAACTAAGCAAGGTATTAAGACACAGAAAGTTTTCATTAGAAACAAAGTAAAGAGTGCTGTGTTATTATGTTATATCCTTTATAGTAGTGAATGGTGGACAAAGTTAGAAGAAATTTCACACAACTTACCTAATGAAATTGTGTAAATGGATGGTAGAAGATGAGATGAAAAAAACATGGTGAAAAAACAAATCTTACTAAGAGTTAGAAAGCATAGGAAGTTGTGAAGAGCTATGGTTGACAATATAAGAAACAGGCACTTCATATAGAAGAAGAAGAAGAAGAAAAGAAGAATGAGGACGAGGAGAAGAAGAAGATGAAGAAGAAGACGAAGAAGTTGAAGAAGATGAAGAAGAAGAAGAAGAAGAAGAAGAAGAAGATGAAGACGAAGAAGATGAAGAAGAAGTTGAAGAAGAAGATGAAGAAGAAGAAGAAGTTGAAGAAGAAGAAGATGAAGAAGAAGAAGTTGAAGAAGAAGAAGAAGATGAAGAAGAAGTTGAAGAAGAAGACGATGAAGAAGAAGAAGTTGAAGAAGAAGATGAAGAAGAAGTTGAAGAAGAAGAAGACGAAGAAGATGAAGAAGAGTTGAAGAAGAAGACGATGAAGAAGAAGAAGTTGAAGAAGAAGATGAAGAAGAAGAAGTTGAAGAAGAAGAAGACGAAGAAGATGAAGAAGAAGTTGAAGAAGAAGATGAAGAAGAAGAAGAAGTTGAAGAAGGAGAAGACGAAGAAGATGATGAAGAAGAAGTTGAAGGAGAAGAAGAAGTTGAAGAAGAAGAAGATGAAGAAGATGAAGAAGAAGATGAAGAAGAGGGAGAAGAAGAAGAATCATATTTTAATTGCATAAATATGTCAAACGTTAAAAGTTACAGATTTGAATAATACAGGGTGATGAAAAAAAAATTACATCCTTTTGTAGAAACTAATAACATAACAAATTCTCGGCCCTGCCAGTGATAATGAAAGTGTGTTGTTAAAATAGTCACCACATTCAACACTTTATGCTTTTTTTCTATGTGGCTGTGTGAAAGGACAGGTCTATATACTCACTCCTCCTACAAGCCTAAAGGAACTTAAGCAGAGAATCACTGAGGCGCTAGAGAATGTTACGCAAGACATGCTACCGCGTGTTTAGCAAGAACTGGACTACCGTCTTGACGTGTGTTGTATCACAAGTGGTGAGCATATTGAACATTTGTAAAGCTTTATGAAATCGGTAATAAGATCTTCATCCCTTTGAATCTCTTGTTCGAATTCTGATAAATAATTATTTTATTGTACAACAGTAAGCCTTTTAAATTTTGTTTGCTGGGACATATAGTTGCTTAGATATTCACATTTTAAATTATACCACTTTTTTTTCTTTTTTTTGGTGGGAACACCCAGTATTTCCCGGTAGTCACGGAAGTCGGTGTATTTGGATGCTGATTTTCAAAGCAGGCGTACGACACTCTTATATAGATGCTGGTACAACAAAATTATCTATTCACATTTGGACGCGTGCCAAACTAAGATTAGTAAGTATATTTGTATACGTAGTCTTGTCATTATGTGTTGAATGAAATTGATTTATGTGAAAAAGAGAAAAAGAAAAGAAAATCTCTGGGATGGTTGGCATGTTTCCATTTCGTAAATGATTAAGAGATTAAGATATATTTTTTTTATTATAAGAACCAACTGTTTCTCAACATCTGAGCAATTTTATGCACTAAACGTTGTGCTATTTTTGTAACACCTGTGTAATTCTAAATATTATCGATTGAATAACCTAAATAAGCTAGTATTGAAAATGAAATAGATACAAGAAAAGAAAAAAAGAAAGTGCGAAGCAAAAAATACAAGCACGCAAGCAAACAAGAAAGAAAGGAAAAGAAAAGAAAGAAAGAAAGAACAAGAAAAAGAAAGAACAAGAAAAAGTAAGAAAGAAAGAAAGAAAGAAAGAAAGAAACGGGAAAGCGAGAAGAAAAGATTCAAGCACGCAAGCAAACAAGAAAGAAAGGAAAAGAAAGAAAGAAAGCACAATAAAAAGAAAGAAAGAAAGAAAGAAAGAAAGATAGAAAGAATGAAAGAGGAAAGTGAGAAGAAAAAATACAAGGACGCAAGCAAACAAGAAAGGAAAAAAAAAAAGGAAGAAAGAAAGGCCAATAAAAAGAAAAAAAGAAAAAGAAAGAAGCGAGAAGAAAAGATTCAAGGACGCAAGCAAACAAGAAAGAAAGACAAATAAATAAAGAAAAACAAAGAAAGAAAGAAAAGCCAATAAAAAGAAAGAAATAAAGAATGAAAGAAAAGAAAAAGCGGAAATGAAAGATAGAAAGATGCAAGCAAAAAAGAAAGTAAGATATAAAGTAAGATAGAAAAAGAAAAAAGAAAGAAAGAAAGAAAATAAACAGAAAGTAAAAGAAAGAAAGAAAAAAGGAAGAGGGAGGGAAGGAAAGAAGGAATGAATGGACGAAGTAAGAGAAAATCAAGAAGAAAGAAAAAACAAAAACGTGTGATAGCGAAACATGATGGACATAGTGAAACGAGAAACGATCTAGTATTTTCCCATATGTTGCCAGTTTGGTTAATATTTTTTACCATAATCTCTTCTCTATCTCCCATTGTATATTCCCTATTTTTTTCTTCAGGACATTTAACGCTCTCCACAGCTTCAAGACTTTTTGTTATTGGTCAGCAATACTTGATCCTTTACAACCCCTTTTTGACGTTATGACATTTCGCTATCAATCCATTTGTTTAAATGCATCCAAGCGCTTACACGCTACGGTTGTAAATAATAGACAAACACGGTAGTGGCACAGGTTAGAAAAATCAGTAATATAGCTGTACGGTTTATTTACACGACGCTTGAGAGTGAAAACCATCGTGACTCAACTAATAACGGCATTGTCGCCAGAAAGACGGGTCCAAGAGTAAAAGATTCGATTTCAAACCTCGATACTATATTTCATATCTGATCCACGCGTCTTTAAATTTTAGAAAAGAATAAATTGAGGTTTATCGTAGAAAATAATAGAAATGTAACATTAAGGAAAAGTGGCCAATAATACTGTCAATTTTGAATCAGTGCTTTTTTTTTTTGCAACGAGGACAGCCGCGCATTAGTTAAACGAACCGATCATTATTTATTTACATTCAGATTAATGTTGTCATCTTTGTTGTTATTATCACAAAGTTTTCTGTGCTCACCTACCTTATCTAAGTGTCTGTTGATCCGATTAATCCGATTAGCAAATTATAACATGAGCTTTTTTATTGAATCTAGAAAGGCAGAATGTTCTCATTCTGTCGTCCCTGTTTAGTCATATTGCATTTTTTAGTTCTTCAGGAATTGATTCCTGCTCGCTCTGCTTCGACCCGGACCAGAGATTGAACTCACAGATATTTTACTACCAAATTTACGAATGAATGATCAACTGGGCTATTTTTTTTTCTGATTATCATAAAAAAGGTCTTCAAAATAACGTAAACAAATATGAATTATTCAAGAAAAACTCTTGATCGTTATGGAAACAAGCCTTTCTGCAATTATCGAATTAATTTCCAACCTGATCAGAATCTTTTCTCTGATTGTTATAAGGGTTTTACAAAGAGATTTTTACGTTCATCTTAGTGGTTTTACTTTGTCAATTACTTTTTCAACGGTCCTCATATTCCGTATACATTCTGATCAAGATCTCTACGATCCTTGATATTCGCTTATTTACTTAAGGATTCAGAGATTTCTACGATCATCATAGTAAGTTGATAATATGCTCAGTAATTCTTTCCATTATTGTAATACGCTTAAATTAGGATGAAGATTTTTTTCTACTGGTTTACGACCACATCACGTTGAAACACTAGTTTCCGTACGATCACCGAAGTTAAGCAACGTCGAGCCTGTTCAGTACCTAGATGCTTGACTGTTTGGGAATACCAGGTGCTGTAAGCTTGGATGTGAGCGTGGTTTAATAGATAATTGCTCGGAATTGTTAATCAGAGAGCCGAGTTCCAATTCTCTTTGTGTTTGTTATAATCACTTGGAGGCATGATGGAGTAATGGATAACGACACGGATTGAGGAATCGTATAGCCGAGTTCGAATTCCAGTCGAATCGGTTACATTCTTACGTGCTAATACCGTTGGGAAAAGTATGAATCCTCTTCTTCTCAAAGCTATGGGTAAATAGCAGAACAGACCGGGTTCTATAGCCTTGGATGGCAACTGGTCTACCATAGAAAGAAATAGAAACCTACTGCGGGAACAAAATCTGCCGCATCAGTCACATTATCGAAAGATACATGATCTCCTGATCATGTATCACGCATCGCACATAACTGACTAAACTGATATTCACTTACGCGGAAATTGGGAAAGTTATGAATCGACATCTCCCCATCTATGGGTTACTTGTATTACTAAATCATAATTAACTCCAAAACAAAATCTAAATATAACTCTCAAACAAATTTTTACAATCTAAAAATAACTCCAAAACAAATTCTTACAATCTAAAAATAACTCCAAAACAAATTCTTACAATCTAAATATAACTCTCAAACAAATTCTTACAATCTAAAAATAACTCCAAAACAAATTCTTATAATCTAAAAATAACCTACAAGGTGTTGATGAGCTGTAGAAAAAGAATTGATCGCCATTTTTCTATGATCATCACAATACGTTATGATTAAGAGATTTCTACGATTATTATATTGAGTTGGCATTATGATCAAGATGTTTCCTTCGATCATCGTAAATCATTTACATTACGATCACCATCTTTTCTACGATGTCACAATACATTATGATTAAGAGATTTCTACGACCATCATATGTTTCTTTCGATCAACATAATTCGTTTTAATTATGATAAATAGTTGTTCTATGCTCCCCATGGTAAGTTTACGTTATGTTTAAGACATCATCTTAGTTACGATCATCTGAGTCAACATCAGGATCAAATTTTTCTTTCAATCATCCTAATTAGTTTATATTATGAGATTCCTGTAATCATCATAGTCTGTTTATACCATGTTTAAGTACTTTACTTCATGAATAAAAGAAGTTTCCTTTTTATTGGGTCACGAAATACTCCTCTGGAGGGTTGCGGAATGAAACTGCGTACATTTTTATTAAAACCACTCAGCATGCATACAGTGTTGGTCACTTGTCCATTGTTATACCGAAAGCATCTAAATGCACTAAAATAAATAAATATGTAAACGACCAGTATATTCCATTCGTCACCGAATTTTATCAATTTAATAAATATTTCACTTTTTTAATGTCACATTTGTTGAGAGGCACGGTTGAGTAATGAGTGCGGCTCGGATTGGGAAATTGGTAGGACCGAGTTCGAATTCCAGTCGAGTTCATTACATTCAATTACGGGCTAATGCTCATGGGAAAGGAATGAATTCAACTCTTCTCCTCCCGTCCATGGGTTAATTAGAAGGGCAGACTGAGTCCCAAAGTATAAGCATACAATATTATAGAATGAAAAACATACAATTTTATAGACTGACCAACAATATATCTAATATTTAATTGAAAGACGTACAATTACGTTTAAAATATAATAGGTTGAAGCCATAAAATTGTCTTCAAAATATTTTTATTTAGGCATTAAATAATCTCTACACTCAACCACTTCGAGTAATTCAGTTATAGCGCTGAAAACTTTTTATTTTATAGTAATGTATGGTTATAAGTGAGAATGGTGATGGGATGTGCTTATTTTATTACTATATAAGTTACTACTACAGTTTACTGTAGTGTTTCAGTTACTTTTGCACTTACATTGTCACTACAATATAGTACTGGTAGTCGCATCTCTGACAAAGCGATTCATAATTCGTAGGCTATAGGAAAAAAAAAGGTCAAATGATAATTATAGCGAATGTAATTCCAGACGCTTCTGTACTGGTCAGAATATTCCCAACCTGAACTGAGTGGAGTTGGTTTGAAAACCGCGGCCTTGGAATCATGACAATGATGGATTGTCTTTTGATTCGGTATAAGATCGAAAACAGCCGCAAAAACTAGCTAGCAGAACGGTTGCGACAGTAAAGATGTCTAAGGCCCTGCTGATCGTCTGAACTTTTATTTCCCAGATTCCTTAGGGTTGTGGTGCTTTCAACAGAAAAAATTCATGCACGTAAAGAGGATTGTTGCTAGTTGATCTGGCGGTACGCTCTTCATAGTTTTAAGTTGTCTTGCTACAGAAGTTTGATTCCTATTACCAAATAAACGGGCCAGTCGAGTATCCACAGTTCAAGTCGTCATGAAGCATCAGTTTGACTCTTATTAGCAAGCGAATGGACCTGTCGAGTATCCACAGTTGAACTGCACCAGCAGTTTGATTCCTGATAGCAACAAAAGGATCCTGTCTGGTTTCAACAGATTCAAGTTGTCTTGCAGCATCAGTTTCATTCCTGTTAGCCATTGAACGGACCGGTCTCGTATCCACAGTTTCAAGTTGAATTGCACCAACAGTTTGATTCCTGATAGCAAGTAAACGAGCCAGACGGGAATCAAAAGTTTCAAGTTGTCTTGCAACAGCAGTTTCTTTCCTGTTAGCAAGCGAACGGGCCTGTCGAGTATCCACAATTTCGAGTTTAATTGCAACAGCAGTTTGATTCCTGATATCAAGTAAACGGGCGTCTCGTGTATCCTCGGCGGTTTCATTCCTGTTAACAAGCAAACGGTATCCTCATTGGCTCTTGTTCTCTCCTTCTCTCCCGTTAACTCTCTCTCTCTCTCTCTTGACCACTCTCTCGCTCATTCCATCTCTCTCTTTCTCGCTCTCACCCTCTCTCGCTCGTTGTCACACTCTTTTTCTCTCTCTCGCTCTTACTCTCTCTATCCCTCTCTCGCTCGCTCTCTATCCTCCTCTCGGTCTCTCTCTCTCGCATTCGTTTCCTCCAAAAGACAATGTTTTGTTGTAATCATTTCACCCCTAGCAAGGCGAGCATGCCACTAGTACGCAAGGGGTTTCAGGGAATGAAAGTGAGAGAAAAGACTGAGTATAGGGAGGATTGAGGAAAGGAGAAAAGATGAACAGGATTCAAGAACATATGATGGCTACTAACGTTGCATTTAAATTTTTGAAGATTGTAACGGAATGGAATTCCACAGATGGGAAGTGCGAGAAGTAACGGTTGCATTTAGATATTTCAACAGTAGTATACGGGTGGCACCTAGATGCCAATGTAGTAGAACGCTTAAACTTGATTCTGTCTGTTGATGCAGCATTGGGGTCCCTACTAAGTAACTACCGATAAACCTGATTCTGTCTGTTGATGCAACATCGGACTCCATACTAAATTAGTACCGATAAACATTATTCTGTCTGTTGATGCAGCATTGCGGTCCCTACTAAGTAACTACCGATAAACGTGATTCTGTCGATGCAGCATCTGGGTTTCTACTGAGTAATTACCGATAAACCTGATTCTGTCTGTTGATGCAGCATCGGGCTCCCTACTAAGTACCGATAGTTCGATAGAATCTAGAGATGACAAGCAAGCGTAGTATTCAACTAACTAAAATTGGTTGATCCATGACGGTGTAGTTGAGTGCGTCGAATATCATTTACTATCGATCACCGACTATATTGGTCTGCTTGCCTATCGATAAAACTGGAGAGGCTCTGTTCACTCCAGTTTTTTGTTTTTTTTAAATGATGATTGTTCATCTAACTGACTAAGGTTATGCCTGGTTTCTATCTATTGACCTGCCTGGTTAAGTTGGACTCGCCATGCGATAAATTCCGGCTAGGATGGCACTCCTAGTCATAGGAGCATAAAAGCCACTCCATCACAGCAACGGAAATGCTTAATTTAGAAACACGATTCATTTTTAATAAAACGAATTGCATAAAATATAGATGTGTTAAATAAAATTTTATATATTTATAAGTCTACCATTCGTCCATGCTTAGAATACCGCCGCCACATAAGGTCTTGGGCCCTTCTTGTTTACCTTGATTTCCTTGATGTAATCCAAACAAGAATCAGCTGTATTATCGGTACTGATCTGGCGGCTCGGCTTTAGTCATTTATTTTGTTTTTTCTTCTAGATATAATTTCATGGTAACTGTTCGGGTGAGCTTTACGCTACCAGTACCTAGAGGTTTCTCGCTTGTGGAACTCTCTTCCGATGCATGCTTTCCAGCTAATTTTAATCTGCAAAAATTGAAATGCAATGTCAATAGCTATCTACAATCCTCCTGATCACTCTTTCCTCTTCGCGATTATTATTAATTTCCATGTTCCTAATTCTTCCACACCCTGTAATCTCTTGTGTCTTAGTGGCCTTACTGCCTTGCATTGGCTGATACCGATTAAAAAATGTCGAAAGTAAAAGAAGAAATACAAGGGCAATGGATTCTGTTTTTTTTAGGAAATGTCTTTTTCATTTTTGTGAAACCAATATATGAAGGGTAGCAATTTAAAAAAACAGAAACTAAAAACAATAAATTAACGTTAAATTATTCGTCTACAACAGCGAAGCGATATGCTGGGGTCGCGAAAATTAAATTCAAACATTTGAATTTCAGATTCTATGTTATTTCGCAAACGCCCAATATTTAACCTGACGCGCTGCAGTAATAAAACACGCTTACGGTGACGCCGTTGTGACTAGAGCTGTCACAACGGATGGATTTTCAATGTAGTTGGTTAATATTTTGGGTCGCGAAAAATCTCATGAAAAATTAGATTATAAATAAAAAAATATTTTAAGAAGCGTTGGTCTCCAACAATGTCTGAGAAATATTTGCCAAATTTCTGTTTGAAGTTTTATTTTATTTTTTTAAGCATTTCACCACAAGGAAGGCGGGAGTGCCATTAGCATGCAAAGGGTTACAGGAAGTGAGACCAGGAGTAAAGAAGGTGTTTGAGAAAATGACAGAGAAGAACGGAGATCAAGATCAAGGATTCAGAAG